GTAGCCCCTCCTCCGTCGCCCCTGGGCCGAGTGCAATGAGGAGTTCAGTTTTACCCGAACTCCTCTCGGCCCGCGGTCAAACACCGTAGTGGACCGCACCCCTCTTAAGAACTGACCTCCCTTTACTCAAGGAAGGTCCTCCCCCCCTCGCTATGGCCCGCCCTGGGGCCTCATCCGAGCTTGGACTTGGAGGAGGCTGGGCCAGGGCGGACTTTCCCCACCGGACCCCTCGCGTGACCGAGGAGGGCAGCAAGTGCCCTACTACTAAATCTAAACCTAAATCTAAACCTAAACTCTTTTTTCTGCATTCCTCCTCGCAAAAATTTTACTCATTTCTATTGATATTGTAGTAACATAGATTAACCATTGTGGAAATTTTGCGAGAGGGAATGCAAAAAGAAGAGTTTAGGTTTAGGTTAGAGTTAGGTTAGGGGATGCAAGGGGGCACAGCCCCCCTGCCTATACGTTTACAATGCGTTTACAACATTAATGAAAAATAATTTTGTGCAACAATTGGTCTTAACTTGTGTTTGTTTCAACTCGAGTTTATTGAGGTTATCACGCATCACGTTACGCATTGTAATATATACGTAAATGCAATGGACTTAACATGAAAACGATTGGAGCTAGGTAATTGAATATCATAACCTTCTTTATAGAAAATCGAATTTCCTACATTTCTTGTTTGACAACTTTTTGCATAACGTGATCACTTTCAGAGATAATTGTAATAAACGTAATAAGGCCTGTTCTACAATACAGTCATAAGCTGTAAGTCGTAAGAAATTGACCAATCACAGATCAATTACAGAGGAATAATCAATTGTGATTAGTCAATTTTTTACAACTTACAGCTTACGACAGTATTGTAGAACAGGCCTAAACTTTCTTTTGTTTATAACTCGAAAACGAAAGCCGACCGGCGGTAACATGTATAGGGAAAACTTGTTCAGAATAACGTCCTCATGCATCATTGGTTGATGCGTAACAAAACTCAAATTAGTGGACACGGTATCAACATAATTTTGACCATTTTTCGAGTTTCACGTTTTTTTTAAAAAAGAGGAAAGTACATAGTTTTTGTAAGCTTCCCCGATCGACTCTCCTCATTAGACTGACAAAATAAAGAGTTTTTAAAAAAAACCGAGTTAAAATAGCCAAAATTGAGAAAAGTTGCTAAACTGTATAATTACCATATATTTAAGTACATTCTCTGCACAACATCCTGCAAACGGCTCCTACAACCGAAATTATTTCATTCATTAGTTTAAAGACTCCGAAGCCCGAAGAATCTTCTTCTTGTTTTTCACTTTTTTATTGCATATTTTTGTAGCTTATCTCGAGAGCTTTTTGAACATTACAATAAAATGAGACCTGTAAACCGACGTTTTTATAACCTAAATTTCTTTATTTTCTAATTTTATTTACTGCACAACAGTAAAAACGCGTCTAAAGAAGCAAATAAATATACAAAACTATACAAAGCTTTTGAAAATGGGTATATAATGCTTTTTTAAACTTTTTTTTATTCATAATGATAGTATATGATATCAGATATACATCATCACACTATGACGTTGTTCTTATCATTAGATAGTCAAACCATAGACTTATATAATAGACGAACATTTATATGACAAAGTTGAACATTAAAGGACAGAGATAGTGCTGGAGTAGTTGTCTCTCTCTCTCTTATAATAAGAGCGGTAGGGGACCAATCATCTTAAGCGCATAGACATATAAGTTTATGCTTAGGCGTAAAAGGCCATTACTTTTGACTTGTGTGCTGTTACGTGCCGGATAGCCACGTAATTAGATAAAAGAATATGCAGGATACTTTCTGTGAGGTGCTTTATTGATGTGAGAGGTAGTGTTGCTCGTCTGAGCTGCGAACGAGAACTGCCTTGTTTTAAACTAAAAACGTGTGAGCTAGACCTTTGTTCCTAAGGCGTAATGTTTGTCTTTTAGTGAGTCACAGATTCATGCAACGGGCGACGAAGGAATTTAGGGAGAGGGTTTGTAAGGAGAGGAAGTTTATCGGGCTGTGTTTATTAGTGTATGATTTCGGCGGGTCGTATGTGTCAACAAAGGAAGTAAATAAAATCGTAACTTGAGCGGCGGCAAGGATTGCGGCACGTAACAGTGCTTGAGAGGTTATGAAGGTTCGAGTCTTGTATGGGTATAATTTTCTTATTAGTTTATTTATGTTTTTAAAGAGAAACTGTGATGTAAGGTTACTTTTATTGTTGACTGGCCTTTAGGATGCTACGACATCTAGCGTAATAAGATGGATTTAGGGAACATGTCTACATAAAAAGATGCAGGAGAGCGGCGCGTGCACCATTTAATAATATATATATCTTCTTCATTACAAGAGAGCGTAGGTGTATATCTCGTAACCTCTGTATTAATCGTATAGAATATATTTTAGTCAAAAATAAAGAAGTGCAGGCTCATATTTTGTATCCACAACCACAAGTGGTAGCAGAGCGTGGTTCTTAAAAATTTTTTAAAGAAAAAAATGAGAAAAGGAAAATATATACAATGGCGGAAGGGTGGAATCTAACGATGATTGAGCCGTTGAATGATGGAAACTGTTTTTTATGGAGAGAAACAATAGGTGTGTTAAGAGCAAAAAAATTGTGGAAAAAGGTCATAGGAGTAAAACCATCCGAAAAACCAGACGAGGAAGAAGAAAATTATCAAGAAAAGTACAATAAGTGGGATGAGTGGGACGATAACAATCATGCTGAAAGAATCATTATAATAAACACAATGAGTCAAGCTCAAGTGCTCAAATATTGTAATGAAAAGTGTGCTGACAAACTTTGGAACCTGATTAAATATAACATGGCAGCAGATTTGGAACAAGTAAAGGCAAAAGCACTAAGCGACTTGACTAATTTACGTATGACGAGAGATGAAAATGTAGACGATTTCCTCAATAGAGCTGAAGCTCTTAAAAATCAATGTGTACAATTAGGAAAGCCAGTTGAAGATTTTTAATTAAGAATGTATATGCTACAAGGCTTCAGACAAGAATTTGATCAGAATGTAAGAATATTGGAAAATCAAAGGGAAGCAACTATAAACGACATAAGGTATGCATTAAAGCAAGAAGAAGTAAGGAGAGAAAGACGAAAACATTAAAGAGGACAAAAGGATCAAGAGAACGTAAGAAGAGTGGAAGACAAAATAAAAAACGGAATTAATTGTTACAACTGTGGGACTTGGTTAGTGGTATGTGAGTGGAGCGGATGTGTGAGAGCAAACGGCAGATAAATCTAAGTATAAGAACAAAGGAGGAGGAAGGGACAGGAAGAAAAGGTGTAAGGGAGATAGAGAAATCAAGTGATATAAAAAGAATTAAACTAATATATATATATATATATAAACTTAAATTTCCTAGATTTTCTTTTCTATCTCTTATCTGTTCGTCGCGCCCCCTGTCCTGTCTCCACTTCTCCTAACCTAACCAACTCTTCTATCTTCTTTTGCACCTAACCTCTTCCTCTTTCTAACTTTTCCATCCTTTTCTATCATTTTCTACTCTTTTCATACCTTTCCTATATATATATATATATATATAAGAGTAGAAAATGATAGAAAAGGATGGAAAAGTTAGAAAGAGGAAGAGGTTAGGTGCAAAAGAAGGTAGAAGAGTTGGTTAGGTTAGGAGAAGTGGAGACAGGACAGGGGGCGCGGCGAACAGATAAGAGATAGAAAAGAAAATCTAGGAAATTTAAGTTTTTGATAGGTAAGAAAGTTGCAGATTGATAAGACAGAAGAGAGGAGCTACACTCCGAGTGGCAAGTGTGAAGGAGTGAGAAAGGAAAGAGAAAAAACGAACTCAATGACGATAATAGAATTATGGAAAGGGAGAGAGGATAAAAAGAGAATGAGAAAGGAAGAGGAAGAGAGATTAGACGATATATTTAAAAAGAGTAACATTCTAAAGAGATCTCCACCTAATGAGAAGAAAAGAGAAGAAAGAGAAAAGGAAGATCAAGATGAAGAAACGAGCTTAGGATCAGAGGAAGAAAATACGTTAAGGCAAATATTGAGCGAAATAAAGGAAATGATAGGAGAAATGGAGAGAGGAAGAAGAGAGGCAAAGAAGGAAATTTGAAATTTAGAAATTAAAATAGGTGAGATAGAAGAGAGAAGGAAGATGAGAGAGAAGGAATTAGAAAAGAGAATAGTGAAATTAGAGAATAAGAACGCAGAGATGAAGGCTGAGGAGAGAACGGGAGCGAGAGAGGAAGCAGGAAAAGGAAGAACATCTCAAAGGAGGAAAGGGTCATGGAAGAGACAAGAAGAGAAGTGAAAAAGATGAAGAGAAAGATGGAAGAAATAGAGGAACAAGAACGGAAGAACAGAGTAGTAATAAAAGAGTTAGAAGTAAGTGAAGAAAATATATGCAAGATACAGTGAGAAGTTTTTTAGAAAATAATTTCAAGGTAGCAAAACAAATCAAAGAAATTAAGATAGTGGGAAGAGAAAGAAGGAAGGTGGCGGTGATGGAAATGAAAGATTGGAAAGAGAAACAAGAAATAATGAGAGAAAAGAACAAATTGAGAGGAAAGAAAATTTTTATAGACCATGATCTATCAATAGAAGAAAGAGTGATACAGAGGAAAATTGCAGAAAGAGCAAAAGAGGAAAAGAAAAAAGGTAGAAAGGTAAAAATAGAATACAAGAAATTGTATATAGAGGGAAAGAAAAATATGTGGGAAGACAAAGAGCCTAGGAGAGAGGATTAGAAGAGAAGGTAAGAGAGAAAGGAAAACTGAAAGAGAGGAGAGGAGAGGGGAAGAGAAGAAAGGGAAAAAGGGTAAAGAAGGAGGAAGGGAAAAGATGGAAATAATCTTCTGAAACATAGCGGGACTTAGGAAGAAAGAAAGAGATTTTTGAAGGTATATAGAGAGATTTGATGTAATAGAGCTATGTGAGACATGGATAGAGGAGAAGGAGTGGTATAGACTAGAAAAGAATCTATCAAAAGATTACAATTAGAAATGTCAATATGCGGAAAGAAATAAGAGAAAAGGAAGGGCGAAGGAGGAGATAATTACGGGAGTCAGGAAAGGGTTGGAGGAAATAGAGGCAATGGAAATAAATGTAAACGGAGTGTAAGAGAGAAGGTTATAAAGATAGGGGGGGAGGTATGGAGAATTTTGATTTACAACGGAGGGAAAATGAAAGAGTTGAGGAAAGTTTTAGAAGAGAAGATAGGGGAATTAAAAGAGGAAATACTATGCATAGGAGGGGATTTTAATGCAAGAATAGATGAGGAAGGCAGGAAATGGGATGTAGAAGAAGAAAGGGAACTAAAAAGAAAGTCGAAGGATAAAGTAACTAATAGTGAAGGTATGGAAATGTTAAGAATGATAGAATACAGAAGATGGCAGATAGGAAACAGAAACATAGTAGGAGATGAAGAGAGAGAGTGGACATGTAGGAGGAAGAGGAGCCTCTGTAATAGATTATGCAGTAACAAATCAAAATGTGATAGGAAAAATAGAGAGACTGAAAGTAGGAGCAAGAGTAGAATCAGATCACCAGCCACTGGAGTTAACAATAGAGGAGGAGAGTGGGAGAAGAGAGGAAAAAGATAGTGAGAGGTTTAAAGAAATAGTACAATGGGATGAAGAGAGTATAAAAAAGTATAAAGAAAGTGGTAAGGAGATAAGAATTAAAGGCGAAAGTGTAGAAGAAATATGGGAAAGCTTGAGAGGGAGTGAAGAAGTGTTTAGTTAGGAGGAAGGTTAAGGTTAGGAGGATGAGAATAGGCGAGAAAGTCTGGTGGGACAGAGAATACAAGAGGTTAAAGAGCAAGGTAAAAAAAGTATAGGAAATGGAGAGAGAATAAGGGGAGCAGAGAAGAATATGTGAAGTTAAGAAGCAGCAAATTCAGAAGATTGTGTAAAGAGAAAAAAGAGGAAATTAGAAAATTTGAGGAGGAAGTGGAAACCTAAAAACTGAAAAGCAGATATGGAACAGGATAAACAAAGGAAGGAAAGAAACAAAGTCAATTGACGAAAATATAAAGATGGAAGAATGGGAGGAACATTTTGTTTAGCTGTTGGAAGGGAAGAGGGAGAATGAAGAGAAAGGAAGGAAGATATTAAAAACAGGGAGACCAGGAGGAGGAGCTAAAAGACGAGGGGAGATAGAAGAACAGATAAGGAAGCTGAAAAAGAAGAAGTCAGCAGGGAAAGACAGTATTTCTAACGAAGTATGAATTTATAGTGAAGGAAAAATATTAGAGGAATTAAAAGACTTAATTAGAAAAGTGTGGAGAGGGGACGGATTTCCAGAAGAATAGAGAAAGGGGGTAATCATCCCAATACACAAAAAAGGAGAGAGAGATAGGGTAGAAAATTACAGAGGAGTCACCCTGCTGAACACGGCATACAAAATATACGCGGGAATTCTTACGGAGAAATTAAGAGTTGAAATAAAGAGGTAGGAAGCATTACAGGAGACTTATGCCGGTTTCACAGAAGGCAGAGGAACTATGGATAATGTGTATATCATACAGCATGTAGTCATGAAGGAACTGGAAAGGAAATGAGGATTTACGGATTTTTCATGGATTTAAAAGCGGCATTTGACAAAGTAGACAGAAAGGAATTGTGGAAGGCGCTGGAGGAAGGAGGGACAAGAAATACATTAATAGAAAGAATAAAGAAAATATATAAGAGCACGAAAAATGCGGTCAGAGTGAGGGGAAAAATGTCGTTTTGGACGGAGAAAGGAGTGAGACAAGGCTGTCCATTGAGTCCGGTTCTGTTTTTGCTGCTAATAGCAGATGTAGAAAACGAGATGGGGAAAGGACAGATAGGAGGAGTTCAAATAGGGAAGAGTAGGATTTGGTCATTGGCAATACACGGACGACCTGGTCCTATTGGCAAAAAACGAAGAGGGAATGATAGAGTCGATAGCAAGAATGAGAAGATACATAAGAAGAAAGAAGTTGCAGATGAACACCGAAAAATCGAAAATTGTCTGCTTCAGAAAAGGGGGAGGAAGAAGAAAGAGGACAGTATGGAAGTAGGAAGGAGAAGAGATAGAAGAGATAGAAGAATTCAAGTACCTAGGATACATGTTGAAGAGGAATGGAGGAGATGAAAGTCAAATAAGAGAACTGAGAAAGAAAGCCAATATAGTTATGAGGAAAATATGGGGAATAGGAGAAAGAAAATTTAAGGATGACTTTAGAAGGAAAATGTGGCTGTTTAGACATCTAGTTCTAGGAGTAGCAATGCACGGAGCAGAGGTTTGGGACTGGAGAGAGCGAGAGGAGCTAGAGGGAATACAAAAGAAATTCATAAAATGGTCCTTGAGGCTTGACTCTTGCACTTCGGATTATATATTGTACAAAGAAACAAATACAGGGAAACTTAGGGAATTGGCAGGATGCAGAGCGTTAGGTTTCGAAGAGAGAACGATTAGGAGAGAGAAAGATAGTGATAAAATGTATAAAAGAAAAGGAAAAAGAAGGAAACATTAGGAAGGGAGTGGGAGGAGAAAGAGAAGAGTTTTTAAGACGAAATGGCTATAGCTCGAAAGGAGTGGAGGACATGAGAAAAAGAGAGATGAACGTGGTAATCAAGGTTAAGGAAAGAGAGGAGGAATTGTTGGGATAATAGATAGACAGCTTAATAAGAAACACGAGATATATAATATAAGATACAAAGATATAACAGTAGTAGGGTTTCCAAAGTACCTAGCGAAAAAAGGAGTTGGAGGAAGTCAGAGTAGGTTGGCGAGATGGAGATGTAGTATGAGGAAGAGGACAAGTTCCGGAGGAAGAAAGGTGCTGCCAGATCTGTGGAAAGGAAAGAGGAACAATTGAGCATCTAATAACGCACACGAAGAGTTAGAAGAAGTTAAGGGTGAAGGAAATATTAGATGATGAAGGCAAAAAGAGGCAATAGCGTGGATGAAGGAAGTGGACAACCTGAGAAAGGAAAAAGAAAGAATAGGTTAAGTTAGGATAA